TGCGGCTGCAGCTGTTCTGATCAGCCAAGGCTCGGTCTGAGCAGCTGCTAGATATTAGGCCCTGCCCCGGGACCAAAGAAAACGAGAGCATGAGACGGTTTCAGTATCGCCTATAAGCACGTAATTTCTTCATAAGTATTTGCTATTATTATTATAGGTAATACCGACTTCAAATTAGCCATTCTTTTTTAAACATGAAAAGAGCTTTACTTTATTGTTACATGTTTGGTTATAAACCTTCAAACGAAACAAATTTCTGCTTGGGCTGAGAATATCTGCAGTGGCATCTTCATGGCAGCGCTGCTAGAGAACTGAGAAGCCCAGCACTCGGGGGCCCTGCCACTCATCTCGGGGACAAAGCAGGAAGGGGGTCACCCCGAGGTGGAGCAGATCAGGTGTGCCCAGAACAGGCTGCCTTTTGTCTGCCCGTCCTAGGACAGGGCAGTGTCCCCTCCAGTTCTGCCTGGGCCTTTAAAGTGGTTCAAGGGAAAAGACTTTACTAGCCAAGCGCTGGGAAAACTGTGCAGGGGAATATCTGATTATTTCTAAACGTTATCTTGAAAAGAAAAGAAAGAGGCTTTGTTGAGAAACGTCCCTGCTGATGTCTGCCTCTAGGACTCCTGAACCTCCCACTCCTTGCTCTAGAGAAACAAACCACTGATTCATTTGGGTCCTGCCAAGGAGAAAGGCATCCCATGATCTTTGGCCAGAAATTCCCCTGGGACACATGAAATCAAACTATACAAACATACTGGGCATATTGCCGTGTAAACAAAGGCAGAAACACCACCATTTGTGGTGGCTGCTGGCATTCCACTGTACGGATGCAACACAATTTAGCCAGTTGTCCACAGATAGATGTTTTACTAAAATTACTGCAGGGAACATCCATATCAATTAAATTTTCCTGGGATAGTTTCCTGGAGTGGACTTGCTGGGTCCCCAGCTCCAGGGACTGTGCGTTTACCGCTCGCTGAGAGCTTCAAGGATGGTAAAGACACGTGGTGGGGGGGGGAGCATTTTTAAAGACAGCCTGCAAGAAGACCTTTTCCCAGAACCCAAAGTTGTGACCAAACCGTGCCCCAGTCAAGAAGTCCGCAGCTGCTGGGAGCGTCCCCAGGTCAGGGACCTAGTGCCACAGTGTAGGGAAGGCACTTCACCTGCCACGGCCCTGGAGGTCCAGAGAGAGGTCGTTCTACAGCCTTATGGCAGGCGCCACCTCCTTGCTCCACCCCCATTCGCCCCAGGCCTCCGCAGTGGGGGACGGTGCTGACCTGTCCCCTGGGGGAATAATTGTATTAGTGATAAGGTGGCCTCTGGCAGCTTAGTCAGCAAATTCGGGGCTTTGGGCTGAGTAATCCTTTGGCGTCTGCCCCAGCAGCAGCTGGTGATCACAGATCGGAGACCCCCCCCAAGCCCCAGGCCCCGCTGGGCTTTGGCATCCCTTCGCCTGCACAGTGCCTGGCTGTGGCCCGGCCTGGCCTGCCAGAGAGCCGAGGCCAGGCTGAGAGAGGAGCTCTCTGACATCCAAATGGTGTGAGGAGTCAACACAACGAGGTCAAAATAAACAGTGTGAGAACAGACAGGTCGGACACTGAAGGTGTCTTTTACTTAGATGGGACCGCGTTTTTGTTTCTGGGTTTTTTTTGTTTTGCCATTCTAAGTAATACAGGCCCATTACAGAATATAGGGAGATATAGGCAAGTTAAAAAACAGACTTCCTGTGATCCTCATGCCCAGCTAACCTGAAATTCTACCCGAACCTGTTCCCTGGAATCTTCCACCTGGACCGAGTAGTGAGAGCTGACTTGGAGTGAGGCTTACCATGAGGCAAGATCTGGCCCTGGACACGGTCTCTCCAGAAGGGGAGAGCAGGTGTGCTGGGAGTCGGGGTGGGCAGCCTGGAGGAATGCCCTAGACAGGCCTTGAAGGATGGGGGGGACTGGGCATCGGGGCAGGAGGGGCGAAGCCATTCCCCACTCAGCTCCTTCCCTGCGGCCTGTGGCCACCCCGGAGAAAAAGAAAAGAAAAGCTTTTCCTTCTGTCTGCACCAACCGCTTCCCATTGTCACCTTCTTTAATCCCACCACAACCCTGCAGGGGACACCCTCCCCCCCCACCCACTTTAGAGAGGAGGACCGTGAAGGCAGGGGTGAATGGAATATCTTGGCCCAGCTCCCAGCCAGGAAAACGTAAAGCCAGGATCCGAGAGGAGGCGCGCTGGCCCAGGGCCTGCCCTTAAACCCCAGGGTCGCTGGCTCCTCACAGGTGAGCCCCCCACAGGCCAGAGAGGCCCCTCCTCTTGTCTCTGGTGTCTCCCCAAGATGCTGGGGACTGGGCAGGGCTCGAGCTACCCGCTGCCTCCAGCCTCACCCTCTCCCTGGCTCTTTCTCCTCTGCATCTCCCATTTTAAAGGGAATTCCTCTCCTAAAATATTTTTGTTTAAATACCTCCCTCGATGGGGGACAATGCAATCTTCCTCTAGTGTCACTTTCCCTGCACGCCCCCAGCCCTGTGTCCTTCCCTCACAGCCGAGCGCGTTCTTCCCGTTCCCTCTCCCCCTCCTTCAACAGCACTGGCACTGCTGCCCCTGCTGCTGACGCCAGCGCCGGTGGAGGCTGCTGCTCCCCGGACGGTGTCCTCGTGCAGAGCAGACTTTGGGGCTCAGACACATCTGAAATCCCCACCTCTCCCCAGCCTCCTCCACCACTGGGGAGCTGTGCGTCTGAAGCGAATGACTTAACCTCTCTGACTGCGTTAGCGCATCTGTGAGTTGAGGGTAGCGAGGACAGCTCCCATGCAGGCTGCAATGTCGCAAGAGTTTGCTTTCTCTGTGACCTCACAGAGCACTTGTCGTGGTGATGCCTCCACCCTTGAATCCTCCGCCCTCCACGGCCCGGCGCTGTCCTGAGTCTCCTTCTGCTTCTGTCCTGCTTCTTTGTCATCAGCTTGTCCTGGTCCTCGCTCTAAAGACGGAGGCTCGGCCTTAGGCCCTCCATCCCTGCATACATCTGCTCCCGGCTCCCTCAGCCCCGCGGCCGGGGTCACACCCGTGCAGATGCACCAGGGACAGTGTGGGGCGCAGAGCTGGACGCTGCAGCGGGACCTGGGAGATCTGTGGGTGGGAAGCTGGGGGCACAGACGTAGGCAGGAGACCGACGGCCCTGGGAGCTGCGAGTGTGTGAAACCTCGAGGGGAGAGCAAAAAGCCCTGTTGGGGACCTCGGGGTGCGTGGAGGTGATGGCAAGCTCGGGCAAAGACCTGGAAGACGTGGGAAAGACGGGCTTCGGGAAGGAGGGAACCAGCCGGGTTCAGGGGAGACGCCCTTGGCTTTGGCATTGAGGTGGAGCCAGAGACCATGTCGGTGGAGGGTCCGGGGGGCTTCCTGGCAGGAAGAGGCAGGGAGGGGTGAGGACGGGCGAGAGGACAGGCGAGAGGGCCCAGCCCCATGGCCTCGATCTTCTGAGGCCCCAGAAAGCAGATTACCCTGCAAAGCCCCCGAGCTGACTTTCCAAATCCCCAAGAGTGCTTCCCTGTCACAGTGAGGGTTAACCCCACTTACGTAAGGGCCATGCCCCCCTTCTGTCCCTTTAACTCCATGATCCTTCCGGAAGCTTCATACCGTCTCCCCAAACCCCTGGGTCTACAGCTGGGCCAACTCCGCCCAGCACACTCACAGGCGCACTCAGGTCTGCTGAGGATGGGTGGTCCCCTCCAGGCCCACCCGGCCTTTCAGCTCCTTCCTGGCATGGGGGTGGCAAGGGGGGAGGGGGGAAGGGCAGGCAAAGGAGAGGCTAATCACCGAGGGTCACCCTGTGATCTCAGTGACCCTGAGGAGTGGCACTAGCAGCGAGTACACACTTCATTTGTTATGTCTTACTCATACCAGGCCCCGAAACACGGTTCGTGAATTGCCGCCGTTTCCCCGGCTACAGTACAGGGCAGCACTTCTGTGATCCCTTTTCACAGACAAAGAAACCAAAGTTCAGACAGGTGATGCTACCTGCCCAGGGACACTGGCTGCCTGGGACGGAGCAGGGATTGGAACCTGGGTCTGTCTCTGCTCTCTGCACTCTCCCTGCTGGGCCTGGGCTTGGCCCACGGAGGACAGACTCCTCCTTCCCCCTCAGAACCGCCACTGGGCTCGAGCTGGGAGGGCTGCGCCTTGGGGCAGGGCAGGGCTATGCCCCAGTCAGGGGAGGAAGGGGAGGCCACCTGAGGGCCCAGAGCCAGGCTCAAGGTGACTGTCCTCACCCCTCCCGTCCTGCAGGCCCAGCTCTCCAGGTAGGGGAGAAAAACACCTGCTAGATCCAGGCCAGCCTGAGGCCCTACACTGGACCCGTCCCGGGGGCCACCTCTGTGCTGGGCATCTGGGGACTAAGGAAGGCAGGGCAGCCTTCCAGGGGCCAGGACTCTCACATCGTGGGCCGCAAGCAGTCCCTTATCAAGGGACTGGTGTGAGAACATCCAGGGTGGAGAGCCGGGTCTCCCAGGGACCCAAAGGGAGCGTCCCATGCAGGGAGCCACACAGGCATGGGGACACCCACACACGGGCCCCTCACACTTGCCTTCAGACACAAGCCAAGCAGCTCAAAAAGATTAAAGTCCTTGGAGGAAGTGGAGTCCACACTTCCCTTCAAGAGCTGGCATTGAATGGCGAACAGCTGAGAGCACAGGGCAGCAGGGCCCCGGGGACACCAGGCAGCCTGGGAGCTGGCGTGGGGGCAGCAGGACTGGCCGGCTCCCCTGGCACTTTGGTAATGCTGCAGGTGTGGCCAGCTGATCCCCTGTGGAGACGGTAAAGATTAAGGGGATCATGAACTGCGCCCGGCGGCTGCCCTGGGAGAAACCTCCTTAGGCCAGAGCTGCACTGTGAGGGGCTTCGGGAACTGAGGGCAGCTCCTGAGTTCGCACAGAGGGGACAGGAGGCAGAGACAGAGAGAGACAGAGACACAGAAAGAGACAGAGGGAGACCACCAGCGAGAGGGAGAAGTAGGAACAGAAGAGAGACAGGGGCACAGAGAGACAGAGCTGCAGAGATTGAGGCAGAGGCTGGGCCCCGCTCGGCACCCGTGGGGGTCCCCGGCAGTCAGGCAGGCAGGCAGAGGCTACCTCGGGACCGCCCAGGACCAGGCTGACAGCTCCGATGAGCTCCACCGTGGCTGCAGCTGCACCTGCAGCGGGGGCTGCCTCCAGGAAGGAGTCTCCAGGCAGGTGGGGCCTGGGGGAGGATCCAGCAGGTACGGCTCTTCCTGGAGGTAGGGTCTGGGCCCGCGGGGAGCAAAGTGTGGGCGAGAGGTTTGCAGAGACCATGCAGGGAGCCACAGCAACTCGGCTCCAGCTGCCGGGGCTGTGGGCCAGTGTGAGGGAAGCCGCTGGCAAAGCCAGAATCCCAGCACCACGGCGGGTGGGGCCGGGGGAGCAGCGGAGCCAGGACTGGACAGCTGAGCACGGGGAAGGGAGGAACAGAGGAGCACCTGAGGGCTCGGAGGCCACGCTGTCCCTAGCGGCGTGGCGGCGCATGTGTGCGGGTGATGGAGCCGCGGGCAGCTGCAGAGAAGGAAGGGGAGCTGGGAGTGGGCAGGGCGCGCGCCGGCTGAGTACCGCCTGCTGAGCGGGGGACAGCCAGAGACCGGGGTGCGGGGAGAGAGACACTTTCCAGACGGAAAAGACACGTGTGCGCTGACATGCGGGTGGGCAAGAACCCAGGGGCCGGAGAGTAGTGTGTGGCCCTGCCCCAGCCCTGCCCCTGCCCCTCAGGCGTGGGCCCCTCGCTGCAGTGCCGCGTGTGCGGGGACAGCAGCAGCGGGAAGCACTACGGCATCTACGCCTGCAACGGCTGCAGCGGTTTCTTCAAGCGCAGCGTGAGGCGCAGGCTCATCTACAGGTGAGGCGCTCAGGTGCTCAGGGAGGAAGGGGCCGGGGCAGAAGCGTCCAGCCTGTGGTCCAGGGCGCAGGCAGGACGCCGACCCCGGGACTCCCCTGCACCTGCAGGTGCCAGGTGGGGGCGGGGACGTGCCCCGTGGACAAGGCCCATCGCAATCAGTGCCAGGCCTGCCGGCTGAAGAAGTGCTTGCAGGCGGGCATGAACCAGGACGGTGAGTCAGGGGCTGACCTGGGGGCATGTGACAGAAGAGACGGGCGTGACCGGTGGGTGTCCTGACCCTCCCTTACTCCCCAGCTGTGCAGAACGAGCGCCAGCCCCGAAGCACAGCGCAGGTCCGTCTGGACAGCATGGAGTCAGACGCTGAGCCCCGGCCCCAGCCCCTGGTGGCTCCTCCGGCCCCAGCAGGGCCCAGCCCACGGGGCCCCACACCCGTGTCTGCGGCCAGGGCCCTGGGCCACCACTTCATGGCCAGCCTTATAACAGCCGAAACCTGTGCTAAGCTGGAGCCAGAGGATGGTAAGTGGGAGGGTGGCCAAGGGCCAGGCCAGCGGCTCAGTTCCCGGGTCACAGCAGGGTCACACACCTAGCTTTGACCCACGTGCCCAGCCTTGCCCCTCACACCCAGGCCCCCTGCAGCTCCCTGTGGAGCAGGCGCTGAGGTCACACCCTCTTCCCCCAACAGCTGATGAAAATATTGACGTCACCAGCAATGACCCCGAGTTCCCCTCATCTCCATACTCTTCTTCCTCCCCCTGTGGCCTGGACAGCATCCACGAGACGTCGGCTCGCCTGCTGTTCATGGCTGTCAAATGGGCTAAGAACCTGCCCGTGTTCTCCAGCCTGCCCTTCCGGGATCAGGTACCCCCGGCCTGTGTGCTGGGCCTGCGCACTGGGCAGCTGGGCCAGGCTGGGATCAGGTGGCCCATGCGTGTCTGCCAGATCGAGGCGCGTACAGCCCTGTGCCGTGTGAACGGAGGTGCACAGCTTGCGTAGCAGTGGGTGGGAGCACACATGACCTTGAGTCGGGGTTGGTGACCATGGGGTGCACACCTCTCCGGGGCAGAGATGATGGCCGGGTTGCACGCCTAGGGGAGGACGATGGCCAGGGACCCACAGGGACCAGGGGTTTGAAGCCAGCGCCTATGGCTCCCTGGGTCTTCCTTCCCCCTAGAAGATCCTCAGGCCCTGTAGACATCCTGTCGGTGACGGGAGATCTGCACGCCCTGAACAGCATGAGTATCCAACTCCAGCCCCCTTGGAGCACAAGCACCTATGACTTCAGGGCTTGAGTTTCAGCCCGACCTCTCCACCTCCAGGACGCCCCTCTGGGCTTCTAACGGGCAAGCAGGCCTCTTATGGTAGGCTGGGAAGAGAGTCGCACCGAGGGTCTCTTCCCCTTAGCCGGCCTGTGTGTGTAGACAGAGCAGCTCAGAAGAGTCAGGCTGAGTCTCCTGAGTGCACACAAATTACAACACTCCTGGGGTGTGTCCCTGAGGCTGCCCACCTTCCCGTGGCCCTAGACTTTCCTGAACGTTCCAGCTGCAGCTCTGGGTGGAACCCACAGAGTGTCTTAGAGGGCAGGCGGCTGAGCCAGATGGCAGCAAATCCCCAAACTCGGGGTCCCTGGCTGATGTCAGACAGAGGTCAGGAGAGCATCCTGGGCACCCAGGACTAGCCCTTCCGTTCCTGGGGTGTCAGAGAAGGAGGCGGAGGCTCCAGGCTGAGCCGGAGAAGCTGTGTATCCGCCGTAACACTCACACCCTCTCTGAGCGCAGGTGATCCTGCTGGAAGAGGCGTGGAGTGAGCTCTTCCTCCTGGCAGCCATACAGTGGTCTCTGCCCCTGGACGGCTGCCCGCTGCTGCTCCCGCCCGAGGCCTCTGCTGCCGGCAGCGCTCAGGGCCGGCTCACGCTGGCCAGCGTGGAGACGCGCGTCCTGCGGGAAACCATCTCTCGGTTCCGGGCACTGGCGGTGGACCCCACAGAGTTCGCCTGCATGAAGGCCCTGGTCCTCTTCAAACCAGGTAGCTGAGGCTTTCCCAGGCCCTGCAGAGAAGTGGTTGGGATGAAGACTGGGAATTCCCATGACTCCTTCTGCCCCTCACTCTGCCCCCACCACCCGCAAGCTGCAGGTGTGTACAGGCCTCTACCCCGGGGACAGGAGGCGAGAGGTGTCCAGAGGGCTCCTCCTGGCTGACTGTGAGGGGACAGGCTGGGGAGCCCCTGGGAGAGGAGCTCACTGGCACTGCTTCTCCCCAGAAACGCGGGGCCTGAAGGATCCCGAGCACGTGGAGGCCTTGCAGGACCAGTCCCAGGTGATGCTGAGCCAGCACAGCAAGGCCCACCACCCCAGCCAGCCCGTCAGGTGACCTGAGCACGCGCCCGCCCGCCTATCCCCTCCCCTTTACCCCCCGCCAACCCCCCACCCCAGGGCTCCACCGCTTAGACAGGACACGGTCTCAGCCCAGCCAGTGTGTACCCAGCATTGACCGTGTGCCCGGCGCAGAGCCAGGCCCCGGAGTGGGGATAAACGTGCATAAGACAAAGCTGCTGCCTTCTGGGCTACCTGGCACAGTGACCACACTGACCATGAGAAGGGTTGCGTGTGTCTGAAGGAGACAGAGTCCCCTTGGGTGTGGGAGGTGTAAAGCAGAGTGGGGGGGAATTTGTGGAGGCAGAGCTGGACTTGGAAGGGAGGGGAGGGTCTAATAGAAGAGAAAACAGCATTTACACAGGGAGAGGGAGGCAAACGTGGATGTGTTCCTAGGACAGGAGTCCAGTTTGAAGGTACAGCAGATTCCTGCCAGCTAGAAGGTGGAGATTAAGCCAGAAAGGCAGCCCTGGACCAGCCTGTTCAGGTCTCTGAATGCCAGCCAAAGGCCACATCTGATGTGGGAGGCAGAGGGGAGCCACTGCAGGTTCTTGAGTGAGGTCCATAGGCTAGACGTCATGCGGACGGGCGAGGCAGTGAGTACAGCAGATACTACCAGGGAGGGGATAGCTACTGCCACCTCCCAGGGAATTCCATGGAGTTCTGGTCTTTGGGAGTGGCCATGGGGAGTGGAGGGGATTACGACTGCAAGAGACTCGGGGTTGGAATGGCTCGGACTCAGCACTTGGGTGGAGGTAAGGAATGCGGGAAGAGGAGCTATTTGGGAGAAGAGGTTATTCAAAAAATAAAAAGGAAAGTCAGGAGGAAAGATAGTTTTGAGGAAACATAAGGTCTGCTGGAGGTGCAGTAGGCATCCCGTTGAGATGCGCTTGTATAAGCCGTGCACTTGCAGGAGCGACAGCCCAGTCCCGGCAGGTAGCTGCAGGCTGAGTGTGGCTGGGGGAGGGTGGAGGCAGGAGCCCGTGCTCTGGCGCTGCCCACCTTGGCCCAGCACCAGCAGATGCAGTGGAGCCTCAGCAAGGTTGGACCACTTGGCCTCCAGGCATCCAGGGGCTATTTTAGACCATATTATCCGTATCCTTGGGCGTTCCCAGCGGTTCTCTGAAGAAGTGAGCTGACCAGGGCATCCTTGAATCACCTCTAATTTGGGAAATGATCACAAGAAGAAGAGGTGATTTCCCTTTAAGGAGAGTCAAATGTACAAGGTGTACACCGCGTTGCCCAGGAAGATCCGTGCTGCTTGTGAGCCCAGGGAGAACAGCTGCTGTCACTGAGACTTGACACAGCATCCTAAGAGTGGTCATCACAGACGCCCAGAGACCGGTGGCCTTCCTAGGCCACCCTTCCGTGGAGACCAGCTCCCAGAGATGTCCTAGCATACTGGTGACACATCAGATTTCAAAATGCTGATTAGGATTCCCTGTGTCACTTATGTGGTGGTTCATTACCTGCTACAGGCAGAACTGAGTGTTAAGTCGTGGTTTGGGATTCTCTAAGTCAGCATATTTCAGTATTTTAAAAAAAGAAATACAATTTCCATTGCAAATGCCAAAACGAAGCTCCACCGAATAATACCTACCCTTACTTTGTGCTGATATTTATGCTGATATTCCTATTTTATTTTTTTAGAAAAGGCTGATTATGACCCACTGAATTTAATTTCAGAACCACTATAATTGGGTCAATACCTGCAGTTTGAAAAAAGAATTTCTCTAATTGACTGTATACTTCCTTCTTCCTGTCACTCCTTGGATCAGAAAATCAAAAGCAGGGAAGACAGACGGGAGGGGCGTGTGACCACACAGGGCCGCACTTGCTTGACACGCTGGAGGGAAGGAGCCCTCAGGTTGGCAGAGCCAGTTCAGCAGGTCGCCGACAGGGGGCGGAGTCTCGCCCGAGGATTGGGGGCGGAGTCTCGCCGGAGGTCTTCGGGGTGAGCTGAGCGTAGGGCTGCCCAGGGGAGCTTTGATCCTTCCCATCTGTCCCCAGCCACCTTTCTTGCACTGGGGACCCCTGCCTTAGCAGGCGGTTCTTATTTACAGCTATAATGAATTTTTTTTCTGGATGAGTATCTCAGCCACCAAAATTATCCTTTGACCTCATAACATTTTCAGTACTGACTACCACCATCCTAGGTAGTTTACAGATGGGAATGTATACTCTTATAAAATACATAATCATATACGAGGGCTGTCTGGAAATTACCCAGCCATTGTTAATATAACGAGAACATATTACACGGCTGGATGCTTTCCGGCCACCCCTTGTATATCTAAAACTAATCATATAATTATCATAACACTCACTTATATAATAATATATTCATATACGGGTGCTCCTCAACTTATGATGAGGGTTACGTCCTGATAAACCCATTATTAAGTTGAAAATATTGTAAGTTGAAAATGCATTTTCAGGCCGGGTGCGGTGGCTCACGCCTGTAATCCTAGCACTCTGGGAGGCCGAGGCGGGAGGATAGTTTGAGCTCAGGAATTGGAGACCAGCCTGAGCGAGAGTGAGACCCCCGTCTCTACTAAAAATATAGAAAGAAATTAGCTGGACAACTGAAAATAGATAGAAAAAAATTAGCCGGGCATGATGGCGCATGCCTGTAATCCCAGCTACTTGGGAGGCTGAGGCAGGAGGATCCCTTGAGCCCCAGAGTTTGAGGTTACAGTGAGCTAGGCTGATGCCACGGCACTCTAGCCCAGGCAACAGAGTGAGACTCTGTCTCAAAGAAAAAAAAAAAGAAAAAGAAAATGCATTTTCAGACATAGCCCCTTTGTAAGTTGAGGAGCATATTGAATGCTTATTGCTTCCACACCATGGTAAAGTTGAACCATCTGCATAGAATTAATATAAATAACTTCTTACTTTCTAATCTTTACACATAATAAACAAGACTTACTCATTATTTTTATTCCACTCCTAAACTAAAGGGGGTTGGTAGTGGCTCACAATGGGTCAGTGGTAGATGGAGGCAACTCATCTGGTGAGTGGGGCCTTCCCTCAAAATTCCTCCTGACCCACCCTGGGTGCCTCCCGTGTCTCCTCTCCTTCCTCCCCTGCCTTTTCCGGGAGGGCACCGCCCGGGGAACTAGTGCTCAGAAGCTGGTGATAAAACTGATGGTGTGCTCTCTCCTGTTCAGGTTTGGGAAATTGCTCCTACTCCTCCCATCTTTGAGGTTTATCACTTCTGAACGCATCGAGCTCCTCTTTTTCCGCAAGACCATAGGGAATACTCCAATGGAGAAGCTCCTTTGTGATATGTTCAAAAACTAGTGGGGGTGGAAGTAAAATGTTTATACACGCTCTGGAAAACAATCTACTGAAGCTAAACATTTGCTTACCCTTTGACCCAGCAATTTCATTTGTGGGTATGTGTACCTAGCAGAAAGTCCATCAAAAGATACTATGAGGCCGGGCACTGTGGCTCACGCCTGTAATCCTAGCACTCTGGGAGGCTGAGGCGGGAGGATAGTTTGAGCTCAGGAGTTCGAGACCAGCCTGAGCAAGAGTGAGACCCCTGTCTCTATTATAAATAGAAAGAAATTAGCTGGACAACTAGAAGTATGTAGAAAAAATTAGCCAGGCATGGTGGCACATGCCTGTAGTCCCAGCTACTCGGGAGGCTGAGGCAGGAGGATTGCTTGAGCCCATGAGTTTGAGGTTGCTGTGAGCTAGGCTGATGCCACGGCACTCTAGCCCGGGCAACAGAGTGAGATTCTGTCCCAAAAAAAAAAAAAAAAGATACTATGCGAAAATTCATAGCAGTTTTATTCATAATAGCCCCAAACTGTACATCGATGGTAGAATGGATTACTAAATTGTGGTATATTCACATAATGAAAAACAGCAATAAAAAAGAATGAATTATTGATACATGGGTCAACATGAATAAATTTAACAGACATAAAAGTTGAATGAAAGGAGCCAGGCACAAGTTCCTTTTATACAAAGTTCAAGAACAGGCAAGACTAACTGATAGTGATAGAAGGTGGAGTAGTGGTTATCTTTGGGTGGGGTGGGGGGAAGGCCGGGGCATTGATTGGGAAGGGGCCCAAGAGAGCCTTCGGGTGTACTAGAAGTGTTCTGTATTTTGATCTGGGTGGTGGTTTTACAATTGTATTCGTATATAAAAATTCATGGAGCTGAACACCTAAGACTCGTGCATTTTACTGTATTTTGTTAGATCTCAATAAAAAAGAAAAAAAAACCCAGAGAAATAAATGTGGTCAAGCCTCTCTCTTTGAGGACACTGAGGGAGTGAGCTCAAGGTCTTTGAGTTCCATCTGGTTTCCACATCGAGTCAGAGTGCAGGTGCAGTGAATTCGAGCCAGGGGAAAATCTCCCACAGGATTCAACAGCTCGGCCTCTCTTCAGATGGCATTCCGTCACCCCACAGAATCTCTCTGTCTTTACCTTCCTCATCCTTCCTCATCCTTCGTAAATAAAGGCGAACACCTTCCAACTCAACATAAGGCAGCTATAGGCACTTTTTGTGAAAGGGCCTCTCCTTCACTTCTTAATTCCTTATAGAAAGATGAAGTGCAAACAAACCTCATTCTTTCCTAGGACCCAGAAGAGCTAGAAAATAATAATTTAAAAAAGTTAACATGTATCAGGCAATGTATACAGCAGGCCGTGAGCTGAGTAAATGCACTGTTATTTAGGCCTCAGGTTAACTCTGAAGGAGGGACCAATTCTCCCCATTTATGAAGAAACCGACACTTAGAGAGGACTCAAACCTTGGTGTGACTCTACTTAGCGCTGCTTAACTCTGGCACTGCCTCCTCCCCACTCCCCCTTCATCCTTGGAATCAACCCAACAAAGAAGTGGTTGAAATCAATAAGGAAAAGGTCATGATGGGAGAAATCGGAGAAATCCTAGGGCTTCCCTGCCCTGTGCCTGTCTGAATTCCCCTAGCTGACAGATCCCGTCCGCTCTGGAAGTGACAACAGCTAGGCTGGTGCACAGAGAGGAACGAACGTGGCAAATACTGCCCAGCTTAAGCCCTTCTCACGTAAGCACTCAAACTATTGGAGATTCTCCATCTTCTAAAAGCATCAGACTGGCCTGTTATCTAGGTCATCTAAGGTCTGTAATGCCATTACATTCTCCATTCCCTATCAAAAGCTTTATCCATAAGATTTAAGCGCTGACCAGGCACCTTGGCAAGAAACATGGTTGAGATATGATCAGATAAGCTCTGCACAGTCTGGCTTTTGAGGACATGGTAAGACTGTAAAGGTCACCTGCTGACGTTCACAGGCTAGTGTCTAGGATTGTGGACACAGCAAGTCTACACTGGGAAAGAGATTTTGGGGCTCTCCAGGAGGAAGTCATGAAGAAGCAGAGTAGGTCCATAAGCTGGATTGTCTCCTGTCAACCTGACGTCAATTACTACCTCTCCTCTAAGACTTTTCTTCATTGTGGAGAAGCCAGGAACTACATTTCCCAGAATCTTCTTCCCCTATAATTTGATAATGGAAGGCACTTATGTGAGGTTTGGAAGGTCAAAAGAGAAGCCATTTTTTCTTTCGAGATATTGTAGCTAGATCTGTGGGAAGATGGGAGATTTCATAGCAGCCTCTTCTTCAGAGTTGCATTAGCTTCCAGGCAAACTCTTGAGAACTTTGGAATTTTTAGCTGAGATCTGTGTTGGCTTTCTTGATCTTCTGTGGGAGCTTCTCTGATCTTTGTTCCCCCGGTTCTTCCAATGTTTATGTCACCTCCTAATTTCTATATTAAATCAGGGGTGGGGAACCTTTTCATGTTGGAAGACTGCATTAATTTAGCTGTAATTAAATAAGGCCCCATTCAAGAAACTTCAATTAGATATACTTAAAAATGTACATTATTTTGTAAAAATCTAACTACTGTGTACTCAATAATTTCAAAAAATGAAAACTATTTGTTAGTTTTAAAGTTAACTAACCTTTCAATGACTTGATTGTGTCTCCTTTTTGTTGAAAAGCATTTGAATATTTGGTTGCAGCATGGAGGTCCACAGTTTCAGTTGATCCTCTAGAGGGGTATTGGTCATTTGTGACCTTGAGGGCATCTTGATTTGGCGTAGGTAGAAGAATGTAGATTCGCAGCAATAAGTGGTTGTAAATCAGGAAAGCATTTTTTGGGGCATGATGCCAAAGGCATGTGTTCTACTTCATTTTTCCATGTTGGATCTTTCTTAGCATGAAACAATGACTTTAAAATATCATTTACCGAGAGCTCAATCAATTCCATCTGTAGTTGTTTAGGTGCCTTGGTGACATCAACTAGGTGAGGCTGATGTGCTAATTTGAGTGTGATGTCATGATTCTTAAAGTCAGAGAACCTTGCATTGTATTCTCCAATTCATAGGTCTATAACAGCTGTGTATTCTTCAAATTATTTGCATATATCATCCTGCTCATCAATGACCTTTGTTAACTGGGGAAAGTGTTCATCTGAAATTTCCCTTTGAAGAAGTGTTTTGAAAAAAGATAACTTCTTTCAAAATGCTTGGATTTTTTGCCACATAGCATATATAGACTTAGTTTTACCTTGCAAAGAAATATTCAAGTTGTTCTGATTTGACATGATTACCACACAGAAATACTGCGTTCCTATAGAAATCTTCTTTCAAAACTCACATTGCTGATTCTGTTCCTCATGAAATTAAACTATCTGTTCTCGCAGAGATAAAATTTTGGCTAACACCTGTCCCTGAGATAACCAATGCTTAGAATGATACGGCAAAGCCACACTGAATACCTCATGGTTCAACTTTAGCATGTTACGAAACTGATGATGCATTTGCATGAATACAGTTAACAATACTTATAACTTGTTGCAAAGTGTCACTTAAAATAGTGTAATTAGCTTTAGCACATAATAGTGTAATTAGTAATCTCTAATTAGCTTTAGAGATTTTGCAGATGCAAAACACAATGAAAAGAAATGAGAGCATCTAGATCTGCTAATACTTTATCAGTGCAATAAACCCTCATGTTTTCCTGTCATGGAAGGTGCGCTGTCTGTACGTACACTCACTAAATTCACCAAATTCAGTCCAACTTCACATTTATCTTGAAAGTTGTTGAAGATATCTATTCCCAGTGTTCCGTTGACAAGAGTGCCCAAAGCAAGTAACTCTTCATTGCAAAGAAAATCTTCTGTTATGACCCGAATGCAGGATAAAACCTGCACCAAGGTAGTAGTATCCAGTTGATTCATCCAAAGTAATTAAATAATATATATTTTCCTTTTGAAGTATTGCATAAAATTGTTAAGTTGAAGGCTAATTCATGTTGCTGATCAGTTGTGGTTCTCCTTAAAAGAGGCAGTTGTTAGTACTTTATCGGGGTCTAAGCATCCTACAACTTCAACAACACATTCTTTCACAATTTCTA